GCCAATCAGAGGCGTTCAGATGAGTCATCACTGAAACAGCGGAGTTCCGTTGTTCAGCGCGCGCTGACTGAATTCTGACTCGCGAATTCTCTCCTCATTAACAACAAAGTGCAGATGTACAAGTGATGTAAGTATAAGAGATTTATTCATCATACAGTGCACATTCACTGATTTTAACGGGAGTGTTTTTAAAGTGCATAAACTTGCGCTAGACTGAGCTTGTGATGATGTTCTTTGGTAATGTTCTTTGCTCGCTTTTTGTAGCTACTTTTTGAATAACTGAGGAAATGTAAGCATTATAATTAGTAACTTACGATGTTTCTATTAATTTGTTATCATATTAAATACAAATTCAGTTTTATTAAAAACATTAGCCTGCTTTTAGCCTTACGCTGGAGTTGGTTCACTTTCTCGCAATGAAACTAAGTAAATTACGGAGGAATAACACGAACCATAAAATGCACATTTCATTAACTGCAAAACAAGCAACTAGGAAAGGTCAGACTGTGAGAGCATCTTATTGACTGAACAAACAGTCACAATCTGACCCACATGTGCAACATTCCCAAACCAGACAACCGTAAGGAGTCCAAAGGGGGGTCATCATGACAGAAACACCCCACTGGCTGCTCTGTAACCAGAACATACTGGTTCAAACCCCTGGTTTGTGTAAAGACTGATATAGATGTCATTTGTGATATCTCACAGCCTTTGAGCTCAGTCTCGAGCCTGCTGCCTCATGTTAGCTACATATTCACATTAGAGACGCCAGAGTGAACAGAACACAAGCTGCTACAAAATACATCTGAAATTGATTTATATGCCAGTTTCTGACATTAATGTACGAAATACTTCATGAAAGACAACGCCCAGCGTGCTGAGGAGATACAAGGATGCTAATGCAACTAAATATAACGGTACCAGACGCGCTAGAATTAAATAGAATTTACAATACAATACAATACAATACAATTAACTTAAACTGTCAATTAAACTGTCGTTTAATACAATAGACTGTGACTGTATCTTTTTTTTTATCGTTGTTTGTGAAAATCCATCAATCGTGGTCACATCAAACCGTGGTGTTCGTGCGTTATTGTTGGCCCTCAACTTTAAGCCATTTCCCTCAAAACAGCTGCATGTAGATAGCTGTACTGAGTAAAATGTGCACATAAATGTGATTATATATTCTAATCGTGTACACAAACAATAACAGCCGTTTAAATATTGTATAATTAATCAGTTTGTTGATAATGGGCCACTACGTTCACGAATATCGAAACCTAACGTTACTGGATTATTCTACTAATTGTCACACCCGCTAAAATATCTGGTACCAATTCACCAGTCCAGCTTGGTAAACCCAAAGCACATCTTTGTAATAAAACAGTGCTCTTACCGCTTGTCGCGCTATCTCAGTGGCCGCCATGGTTCTCTCCTGCATCAACCCTTCTCAGGAAACTGCAGCACGCACGCAGAGAGAAGCGACAGCGACGAACTCAGATACGATGGACTGTACCATTCATGACCGACGCCAAGGCGGCTTCTGTTATTATTGTAATTTGTTTTTAATTGTAATTGTATACGAATTAACGTATAGCCAAAATACACATAGTTTGATAGTTACAACACCCAAACAGTCATGATCATCAAAATATCGCATCACACTATGTCCCCCATTTCATTAAATGGTATAGTCCTCTTCATCTTCAGCTCAACCGCTAAAATGCATATTTCTAGGTCTAACAGCTACAGTAAAGTATGACTGAATGGCGTAAAGGTGCACTTTTCACAGAATATGTCTTAAATATTCAAGATTTCAGCCAGTTACGATTATGAAGTAAATATGTCACATAGGTCTACTGACTTTAAATGAGTAAGTAAACCTACATATTAAATCATATGGAATTAAGCAGGGCTAAAGGTTCTCTTTTTCCCTCCTCCTCGGTTCCACCAGTCAACGAATAGTTGCGAGTGTCGTGGGTCTGAAGACAAGCGTTGATTTAGTCAGTGGTATTTGAACTTTAGACTTTATCAAGGGGAGGGTTTGGACGTCGGAAACGGCCACTGTGAGGAAAAACACACTCGACTAGTTTCGTTAGCTCACAGAAAGCATTTTCTGCTTCTCGGAAAGGAGAAACTGTCGTTTAACTAAGAGTTCAGAGGTTTGTGAAGCCCTATAACCCGCAGGAAATTATTTGGTTAAGTGCAGACGGCTTGAATTAGAGGGACGAGGGAAGGATAGCCTGCTTTGAAGAGCTGTGCGGACAACAGGTGATAGCTGCGGCGCCGGATGGTTTACCTGAGAGACAGGTATTCATCTACATTCATCAATTCAACTCACAGTTCTCGTGAAGCTTTACGAGAACATACAGTGATAACGTTCGACGTAAATGTACAACTTTCAGACATTAATCAGACGTATAGGCTAAATCAACCACTGAATTTATGAAAACGTAAAAGGCGGGCTTAAAAAGAATCATATTAAAAAACAAAACAGTGATCATGTAAAATAGCCTAGTCATTATAGTGTGAATGTTTCTTTTTGAAAGCTAATGTAAAAAGAGGAACACGAATGAGGAAGAAGCGCGTTTCATTACCAAGAGAAAACTAAACTATGTTGCTTGTTGTTTTCCTCTTAAATTAAAACATATAGCCTATAGGTTATTCATCTTTTTTATTATTTAATTTACGAATATTATATTCCCTTTTCCCCACCCAGATCTGAACATTTATAGTTAAGAGAAGTGACTAAGGAAGACAGTTTTATATGGTTATGTAAGCCTCTTCAAACTGGACCTTATCTAAGTAAAGTATGTATGAGGGGAACAGCAGCGGGCCCATCAGCTCTGAGGAACACTGTAATGATGACCCTGTGGGAGAAGCAGCTCTGCCCTCAGAGCAACCAACCGATTCAGACGGTGAAGCTTCAGCCAACAATGTAAGAAAGTCAGATTCCCCTAAAAGCAGGATAACAAGCCAGTTCCGCTCAAATCTTGAGGAGCGGTTGTCAAGACATGGAGCTCGACCCGTGTCTCCTGCCCTCAGCGCCTCCTCGCGCAGATCCAGATTTCAGAAACAGCTGGAGGAACGGGGCAGCAGCGCCTCCCGCAGACTATCAGTTGATGCGTTGGAGAAGGGCTCCCTCACCCCCGCTATGCGAAAGAAGTATTTGAAAGAGTTGTTTTTGAATCATACATCTGGATTGTCAAGTATTTTATCATCCAAACACAAATCGTCAGAAGCAGAGGAGGCACCGTATGGCGACACTTTGAACAGCGGTGCGCTCTGGGCTTTGGATCCTATGGAGCACGCCTGGATGCTTTCTGTTGTGGATGGAAATTATGACACTATGCTGGAATTTCTCGCTGAAGATCCCAGTTTATTGAGCAGAAAAGACTTTATCAGTGGTTTTACAGCTCTCCACTGGTTGGCCAAAAATGGAAAGGACGAGACGCTGATTCAGCTTCTCAGGCATGCAGAAAAAGAGGGGCTGTCAGTGAATGTGAACTTGAGAGGCAGTGGAGGTCTGACGCCTCTTCATGTGGCTGCCATGCATAACCAATACATGGTTGTGAAGGCTTTGGTTGGTGCATTCAGTGCTAATATAAACGTCTTGGACTACAGTGGGAAAAGAGCATGGCAGTATCTCAAAGACAACGCACCGAGAGAAATGAAGGAGCTTCTGGGAGCTTGGGATGATGAACACTCTGAAGGATACTTGAATGTGAATAACAGTGCGAGTCAAGCACAGCCAGCTGAAGACCATACACAAGAAAATAGAGTTGAGGTGGACGGTTCAGGAGGAATCACATGCCAGCGATTCTCATCATATAAGAGGCTGTTCTACAACATTGGTCTGCTTGAAAATATCTGACTTTGCCAAAATAGTGTTTTCAGGTCATTATTGTTATACAATTACAATTTGTTCCTTTAACAAAGTTTGTATGGTTAATAATGTGGCACCTATTAACTTGATAACAGTGCTGTGTATTATATGATGAATTTTAATCTTTAATTAACCGAGTTGCAAGGAACTTATCTCCAATGTTTTAGATTTACATATATATATTATACTGTATATATACACAGTGTGTAAAGAAAAATAGAAAAGAATCATCACCCTTTAAACTAGTTAGTAGAGACATACCCCAACAGACTAAAAGCTGTACTTAAAGCAAAAGGATGAGATCCTTTTTCCAAATCAGTGACTGAAAACAAGACCAAAAACTTGCCAAACTGGCTCGAAGAGAAAAAATAAATATGGAAAAAATAATTTTTGATGTTTAGATATTTGTATAGGAAAAACAGAAAATACGGATTTTTTTTTTTTGCAGTCACACTTGGGAGACTATGAATTTAGGACTTTCTGCTCAAAATGAACGCCTTTTTAAGGCCTTAACTTAATTGAATTAAAACTTTAAGTACTGCAGAAATACATGTCTAGATAGATAAAAACTTGTTTATCCTTCATGAGAAGGAACGTAAAAGCTCAGTGAAAGCCAATAAAAGTGTTTATTAGTAGCTCTGCCCTGTCCATCTCCTCCTGTTCCTCCTCCGCCCCGGTTACGGCTCCTCGCCCCAGGCTGGTACAGCTGAATTGCAGGCCGATCCTAAGACAGAAATGTAAAAAACTATAAGCAATACGTGAAATACAAGTTATACACATAAAACGTTTTTGATGTTTTTATAAGAAGTCTCTAATGCTCATCAAGGCTGCATTTTTTTATCAAAAACATAGTAAAAGCAGTAATATTGTGGAATATCATCTTAACTTTTTTTAAAGTGTAATTTATTCCTGTGATGGCAAAGCCATTACTCCAGTCTTCAGCGTCACACGATCCTTCAGAAATCATTCTAATATACTGTTTTGGTGCTCTATTATAAATTTTTACTGGTGCTCAGTTAATAATAACGGTTCTCATTATTATCAATGTTGAAAACAGTTTTAGCTGCTTAATATTTTGTGGAAACAATCAGGATTCTTTGATGAATAGAACAACCAAAAGAACAGCATTTATTTCAAATAGAAACCCTAAAGTTTTGAAAGGCAGTTAATTAAAAAAAAATTTAAGCAGCACATCTGTTTTCAACATTGTATTAAGAAATATTTCTTAATATGATGTATTACCTTGAGCAGCAAATCAGCATATTAGAATGATTTCTGAAGGATCATGTGACACTGAAGACTGGAGTAATGATGCTGAAAATTCAGCTTTTCCATCACAGGAATAAATTATATTTTAAAATATATAAAAATCTGAAAAAATGCTTAAATTGTACTAATATTTAACAATATTACTTTTTTTTTTCACCGTATTTTTGATCAAATAAATGCAGCCTTGGTGAGCATAAGATACTTCTTTAAAAAACATTTTAAAAAATCGTAATTCTTCCAAACAAATGACCAGTCGTGTACCTTATTTCTCAGACGGTCTTTTTTGGCACTGTCTTCTTTTTTGCTGTCCTTTGATGGCTTTTCAGGGTGAGCATTAACGGAGGACTCTCCAGTGTTTTCATTCTTTCTTTTCTCCCAAACACGCTCCTTGTCCTTCTTCCCCTCCTCATCTCTCTTTCTGTAGGTGTTTTCTCCATCATGACGTTCCCTTTTCCTCCGTTCTTCATCCTGCCTTCTGATACGTTCTTTTTCTTTCTGTCTTCGCTCTCTCTCTCTGTCCCGGTCTCGTTCTCGGTCTCCATCACGAGCTCTGTAATTTTTATGCCCACTATCCTCTGACCTAAAAACCAAAGCATATTGACATCATGATATGAAATTAGAGGAGAAGACCTGAAAAGTAAAACATGTGTTGAGTAAGGCCGGGAATCTTTTTTGTCCAGCGCCAATGTCGAGTGTAACCAACATACTTTCCCCCTTTCTCCTCTCGGTGTTCACCATTCTGCCGCTTCTTTGTGTCTCCTCCTCCAGAAGGTCGATCTTCCTTCTGTTTCTCTCTGTCTTGTTTCTTGGGCTTTTCCTTTGGCTTCTCAGTATCACCATCATCTGCTTTCTCTGTTTTTTTCAAGAGCTGAAAGACAAAACCAGGTTAAACATTACCGTTCAAAAGTTGTGATCGGTAAGATTTAAAAAGGATGCATTTAATTGATCAAAAGTGACAGTAAGGACATTTATGTTACAAAAGTTTTCTATTTCAAAATATCGTTCTTTTGAACTTTCTATTCATCAAAGAATCCTGGAAAAAAAATATGTATCATGGTTTACACAAAAATATGAGGCAGCACAAGAAATCAGTCAAAATAAGAATATTAGAATGATTTCTGAAGGATCGTGTGACACTGAAGACACTGAAGAGTAATGATGCTGAAAATTCAGCTTTGCGTCACAGGAATAAAGTACATTTGAAAATATATTAAAATAGAAAACAGTTCTTTTAAACTGTAAATATATTTTACAATATTATTGTTTTGTTTAAATAAATGCAGCCTTGGTGAGCGTAATTATTTCAAAAACGTTTAATCTTCGTGTATGAAACTTTTAGTAATGAAACTCAATAATTAATCTTTGTAGTCAATAATATTTAGATGTACCTTAATTTTTGGCTGTTCATCTTTAGGTTGGTCCTTATCAGATGCCTTTTCTCCTTTTTTAAATTTCTCAGCCTCTTTTCTTTTTCTTCTGTCCTCCTCTCTCCACTTACGCCTCTCTTCATCTCGCAGGCGTTTACGTTCTAGTTCTCTCCGTCTCCTCTCTTCTTTCTTTTCTTCTCTAATCCTCTGGTGAGGACAGGATGAGAGAGCATGAACAAACTACACATACAGTATGGCATATTATATGTGGAAACTAAATGAACTGATGTCAGGCTAATGAAGTATGCAATTAAGTCAGTAAATATTACACCCTCACTTTACCTGTTTATTTTTAAGGAAGTCCAAGAGGGGTGTGGTTTTTTTAGCTGGGGAAAGAACATTTCAGATAATTATTTTAAATCAAGAGCGAAAACTTTTTAAAATTCTTTTGTTTAGAGATGTTGTGTTGAAAAACACACCACTAAGTTCCTTTGTCTTGGCCTCAATTTCCTCAAGTAATGTCTCAGGGTTGGAAGGGAATTTTTCCTCATCACCATTGTAGAACTCCAAAAAAGTTTTGTAATCGGCATCTAATAAGTCACAGGTAAACAAATAATAAACTATTGTTTGCAGTGATAATCAAATGTAAAACACACACACTTATATATATATATGTGTGTGTGTATATATATATATACAGTGGGTACGGAAAGTATTCAGACCCCCTTATATTTTTCACTCTGTCATATTGCACATGTCAACGTGTTAGTAAAAATACAGCTGCAAACAATAATCTATAGTATTTCAAATGAAAGCGGCTAGCTGCGCTGTTTATAGTCTATTTGTAGCATGAATGTAGCCAGCTAGCCTGCTAACTAACTACCTTTGTCAAAGCCTCCTTCTTCTCTTTATTTGGCTTCTCTGGCTTTTCATCTTCATCACATTTTATTTCCACTTTCTTTTCTCTGGGACGCGTGTTTTCCTTGTCCTCCTTCATGATCCTTTGCCAACTTCTGCAGCGATGTTCTGCGTGTGTTTCTCGCTGTTATCAGTCGTGTGTGTGCTATCTCTCCACTGCCCAACTCTCCGCAGTTGTCTCTCCGTAACAGCAGCAGGCGTCTCTGATTGGCTACAGCTCATGACGCAAAGAGTCTCTCGATAAAGCGAGGAGAATCCACTCGTCCACTCTGCTAATTTATCGTTGTGGACTCTTGCTAGGGAGAAAACTCGATGACAATTAGTGACTGTTAATGACACTAACAGCATATTTGCCACAATATTACATAAAAAGTAATTCACAGACTTCCTAATACTTGTCTCTTTTGCTGAACTTAAGTGGCTCTTACATGAAGAGTGGACAGGCTAGACATTGCTGTGCTCCTCCCAATTCTTTAACTATTTTTATCATTAGGCTATAGCATTCAAATATGATTTTAAAATGTCATTCTATGCTACGCACGACCTGATTAACAAAGTGGCCATAAGTCTGTTAATACTGTAGTAGTTTTAGCAGTATAAAAGACTTACACTAAGAGCCACGATGCGGCGCTGCAGTATTACAGCCGAGGTTTTCAGATGCGGAAATGAATTATACACAACAATATCTCGGAAGTTGTTTTTGTGACCGACCGTCATAAGGGCAGACATTTTGGCCCATGTAGAAGACAATTTTGCAAGGTTTTTTGAATAAATCGTGCCCTCTGCAATAATTTCTCTGTGTTTGTACACTCATATTTCACCACAATCATGTGGTATGAGATATTGCCCGGCTTTGCTATTATGACAGTTTGTCTGATGATTCCTGGCATCGCAACTGCTCAAATCCAGAAGTTCACAAACGGTGGAAAGGTGAGTTATGATGATGAGCAGCGTTTGTCACTCTCAATCATTGAGTACATGCTTTAATGAATCCTTCAATAGATATGAACCTTTGTTTCAGCTTGACATTTGTCTGATCTTTCTGTGCGCTCTCGTATAGAAAGCCTACAGCATTTAATCCACTTCTTCTTGTACTCAGGAAAAGAGGATCGTACGGGTACCCTATCACTGGTATTTGATGGAGAGAGACAGGAGAGTGTCTGGAACTGGTGCACATTACCATGCAAAGGTAATAACTTGTATAAACTTATGTGAAACGTATCAGTACTGACAATATGCTCACAATAGCTGGTGTTTTAATATTCTTCTTTATTTCATAGGGGCTTGAAAACATCAAATGAAGAGCCACCGAGCAACAATTGAAATGTACATTTTGTCCAGCCATCTAATAAAATGTTATCTTTAAATTATTAGTTTAGCTTGCTGTTTTCATTTAGTGTGTGTGTGCATATTTGATTTTTTTTATAGAGCTGTTATATTGTACTGTTTTGATACTGGTTCACTGTGGTGTGAATATACATTTGAATATGATTGGTTTGCATAGTTTACTTTATTAGGTTAATAATTCCTTAACCCACTTAACTGAGGTTTTAGTTAATAGTAATTAAGACTAATTTAGATTTTAGTTGGCAGAGTAAAACATTTTATCACATCACTTTGTCACTTCACCATGTACTCAAGTGTAATGATGGGTTAAAATATAGAGTGCCCGATCTAATCCTTGCAGTTTTTACAGAGAGGCAAAGCAATGCATATAAATACATTGTACATAATACACATGACATACTGCAGACTGAGTCTAAAATGTGTGAAGTACTTAAAATAATTCTAATTGACCGATTTAAGTGGATCTACAAAAGGCTTGAAAATATACTAAGTATACATAATGTGACTAAACGGTGTAATATACAGGCTCCACAGAAACCTCTGACAGCTTCAAATGGAGTGTCAGTTGACGTAATATGTGGTAATGCAATAAGTATACAAATTGTACTAAAGTAGTAACACACTTATGTTTTTAAAGAAAATCTTGTGCACTTTTTACATCCATTTAGACGTCCATTGGAGAAAATTGAGATGATGAAGAAGCAAGCATGCAGACATGACATACTTCTATTCCAAACCGTAATTCTTTTAGCAGGCTTCATGATAGAATTGTGATTTCCAGGCTGGGAAAAGACATGGAAGTTACTATTGTGAATTTAGTGTGTAGATTTTGCTCTTTGTAAGTGCAATAAGATTATTAGTGTTATTTTATATAGCCGTAAATGTAAAAATCCATTATTTTAAAGCAGGGGTATTCAATTAAAGTTCCAAGAGGTCCGGGGTCTATATTTCCTTCCCAGTGGTCCGGACAATATATGTGGCCCCTGAGAAAGAAAATCATCAGTTCAGCCCAATTAGATATGAATTTTAAAGGTTAAGATCAAATGTTTTACTAAATATTTATTTATTTTTAAGTTTAGACACATAAGGCTGAAGGCCATGCGACAGAAAAGATTCTGTATGGGTGTTCCATTTTTATATTTTGCTTAAAACAAACATAATCAAAACGTTCTCATCATGAGCAGAAAACAAAGTTAACTAGTAATTTCAATGTTTACATTGTATTTCCTTGCAATCTATAAACAAATTGTAACAATTATGTGTTTATTTTTCAAATGTTCTCAACACTGATTAATAACGCTAAATGTAGATGAAAAAAAATCTAGTCACAAAACTGGCTTGAAGTCAGTCAAAATAAATATATTTGCAGCATTGCTGTTTTCTGCAGTTTTAGCGAAAGCATCGACCTATTTCACTGCTCACTGTTTCCGATTCTGTTTTTACAATAACTGCGTCATCTTAATGGTGCTTGAGTGTCTTTATAGAGAAGCAAATGAATATTGTTGACAGTTCCTACAACTACAGATTCAAAGCACATTTCAAAAACCAAAGACTCTATAGTTTAACTCAGCTGACAAGGTTAATGCAGGGTTATTACTAAAGAAATTCTCATTCTTGATGAAAGCTCCAGCACGACAGTGGATCACATGACCATTTTTATTTAGATGCAACACACATTACATGAAGGGAATTGCAGTGGTTAATGGTTCGAGTTCTACTGATCAGTTTATTTCTTGCTTGTAATAAAAGAAACGTACACATCGATTTTAGTTCGCAAGCCTCTCACTGTGAACTTATACAGAGGATGCCCAAGCAGACAAAAATGAATACAAACACACGTGTGTAGAATCTGTGACTTAATCACATTATGTTTTATGTGAAAAGAAAAATAATGACATCCCAGCTGAAAATATCATTCTGCAGGACAGTCTACTTCTCGTCTTTGCCTTTAGTTTTTCTGTACACCATTTCCCTGAAGCTGGAAAGGATTTTGCTTTCCCTCTTTCTCCTTTCCTCTTGGTTAAAGGAAGCAAGAGCTAGTTCCTACAACTACAGATTCAAAGCACATTTCAAAAACCAAAGACTCTATAGTTTAACTCAGCTGACAAGGTTAATGCAGGGTTATTACTAAAGAAATTCTCATTCTTGATGAAAGCTCCAGCACGACAGTGGATCACATGACCATTTTTATTTAGATGCAACACACATTACATGAAGGGAATTGCAGTGGTTAATGGTTCGAGTTCTACTGATCAGTTTATTTCTTGCTTGTAATAAAAGAAACGTACACATCGATTTTAGTTCGCAAGCCTCTCACTGTGAACTGTACAGGAGGATGCCCAAGCAGACAAAAATGAATACAAACACACGTGTGTAGAATCTGTGACTTAATCACATTATGTTTTATGTGAAAAGAAAAATAATGACATCCCAGCTGAAAATATCATTCTGCAGGACAGTCTACTTCTCGTCTTTGCCTTTAGTTTTTCTGTACACCATTTCCCTGAAGCTGGAAAGGATTTTGCTTTCCCTCTTTCTCCTTTCCTCTTGGTTAAAGGAAGCAAGAGCTCTCTTCTCATCAGCACTGTAGATCTGGTTTTCCTTTCTCAGACGCACAGCCTCCATACGCCGATGTCTGAGGGCATAAGGAATCAAATTTACTCCACCTACAATTATAACAGTTTCATCTTTTTACTTAAGACTACATTCATTGTATTTTTGTGGAAACCATGATACATTCTTTTCAGGATTCTTTGAAGAATAGAAAGTTCAAAAGAACAGCATTTATTTGAAATAGAAATCTTGTGCAATATAAATATATTTACACTTTTGATCAATTTAATGCATCCTTGTTTAAAAAAAAAAAAAAGTGTTCATTTCTTTCAAAGAACTGACAGCAAACTATCGAACAGTAGTGTATGTGCACAAATGTACAATATAAAAGCTTCATACCTGCTTCCACTCATGACATAGCCACATTTCTCAAACTCTACAATCTCATCACTAGTCAAACCGATTTCACCTCTTCTTGGAATACGCTTTCCTGCTTTGACAAACTCTGCCATGGCTGCACCTTCACCTGGTAGCAAAGCGTGGCCAAAACTATGGGAAACAAGACACAAAGGCACAAAGCTGTAACCTTCGGTTCCAGAGACAGGATCAAAAATGACTTAAAAACAACCACCATTATCATTAAGCAACAGTGGAGGAAGAATCAACTGCTCACTCCAAAGGTTTGTCATCTTGGGACAAGTGAGTGAGAGGAGCTTCAGGTCCAACAACATGTTCTCCAACACCAGTTTTCTCCACCCATGAGATTTCATTGACATCCTCCTCTTCTTCCTCTGAATGTTCACTGCTAGAGCTACTGGACTCCTTGTGATTCTTCTTCGCCTTCTTCTTCTTTGATTTTTTCCTGTGAGGACAAAATCATGGCATCGTATGAAACTAATCAAGCCTTGCTGATTCAACACACTACAGACGAAAACAAGATTCTTACTTTTTACTTTTCTTCTTTCTTTTCTTCTTTTTCATCTCTTCTGCAAAACAAGCAGGTAACTGTTTATATAATCTTACACACAAAAATAATTTGTTTTAGAACAAAAATAAATGCCACAAACCTTCAGAATCACTTTCTGACTCGCTGTCCTCTGAGTGCTTCTTGTTCTTTCTCTTCTTTGATTTCTTCTTCTTCTTCTTCTTTTTCTTTTTCTTCTTTTCCTCTGTAGACAAGATATCAGACATTTAGATTATTTATTCGGTAAACCTGCTGTGAAAAAGCACATTGTGTGTAAGTGAGATGTTAAAGAATCATTTACCCTGTGAATTTGAATCAGAGCTGCTGTTCTTCACGTCCTCTTCTACAGGAGTGTGCTCATCTGAGCTATTACAAGATATTAGATGAAAGCATTTAAGCACAGAGTATATGATGAGAATATTACTGTACATAGACTGTTTTTGAGTTTCAACTCAATTTAAGCTATTGTCACTGTACAAGTACAGTTAAAATGTCTTTTATCACTCAAGCACAGGTTTAGTTTTTTTTTTTAATAATGTAGAAATACAAAGAAAATGCAGTAAGTAAATATTTTTGAAAGTAGTCTTATGCTTACCAAGACTACATTTATCTGATTAAAACTGTTAAAACAGTAATACTGTCAAATTATTACACTTTAAAATGTCTGTTCCGTACCCACTGTATGTAGTTGTTTTTTGGTGTTCGGCTTAGTGTTATGCTAGAATCATTATTATACTCATACCTTTTGTTCTTTAATGTTTTGAGCTTAATTTTTTTTTGTTTTCATTTAAATGTTTAGTTTTGAAATGTTGTATGCATTTGTCATTTTTATTTAATTTCTTAAATGTGTGTGTATTTATAGAGTTTTAATTACTTTTTCTTATCTGTAAGTCGCTTTGGATAAAAGCGTCTGCTAAATGACTAAAATTAAAAGTAGTATGTACACAACAAAAAGAGGCACCCCAGTTGTGGAAAATTACATTAATACAGAAAAAAAGTTGAAAGTTTATCAAATATATTCCATAATGCAGATTTCCAGATGAGGCTACATGAGAGTGTCAAAATAAAGGGGTGTCTTACAAAATATATGTTGATTTATGTGTTGCATTTGTTCGATGTATTAAGAGATAGTGATGTATCGTTAGACCCCTTTTATACTTTATAAAACATGTAACAGTAGACACTGATATGTGGTATTGAATATGAACTCACTCAGGTTCTCTGACTCTTGGAGAATATCCCCAGACCTCAGGACATCCCAGTTCACCAATTCTCTCACGTTCCTGCAGACGCCTTGATAGAGAAAAGCAGAAAAGAAATCAAGGTAATTATGCACCGAAAACAATTCCTTCATCATGCTCAGTAACTGCTGGTGTCGTGTATGCTCGCTCATGAAGACACCACAGACTGGAGTGTGTCTGACCTCGCGATGAAGGCGTCTTGTCTCTGTCGTTGGGCATCATCTCTTCTCTCATAGTAATCCGATCTTGATCCGAAGCCGTGATCTCGGTCTCTCTGATCTGACCAATTCAACCGATCTCTTTCCCTTGACCTGGAGCGACTGCGGGAATTCTCTACTCGGAACCGGTTTCTTCTCCTCTCTTTGTCGTTGTATCGCGATTTGTGATCGTCTTCATTCTCGTGTCTGCGGGTCTTCAGCCCGTGGTCCGGTGAGCGGCTGCTGGAGCGGCTGCGTCGGCGTCTCTTCGGGCTCACGGCGCCGGAACATTTTACGTCCAACTCGGGCATTACTATAAACTGTATTATTAACTTTAATGTTAATTTAATGACGATTGGATAGTCTTTTATTCAGTTCGGTCATAAAGCGGCCCGTTAATTACATTTTGTTGGTCATGTCGCAGTTCACCAGAACTAACGTTAGCAAAGCTAGCTAGATAATGATTTTAGCGAACTGCGATTTCGAATACTTTAGCTAATGAGACAAAAAATGTTAATTCATATAAATCACGGTGGTGTTGGGACTCACCACGAAACCAGTAAACAACTTAAACGCGGGTCATGGGACCAAAATGTGTACTAGCGTCGTTGAAATCCAACTTTAGCCTGCTTGTGTTCTTCTTCTTCTTCTTCTTCTTCTTCTTCTTTGGTGTTTTATTGGCGGTTGGCAAACCAGCTTATAGGTGCATTACCGCCACCGACTGGACTGGAGTGTGGATCAAGATTTATGCAATATATATGATGGGGAAAGAGGGGAAAGGGCCATATAAAACAAACAAAACCTATATATATATACATATATACACACATATATTATCTTACTTAATTCACATTCTTTTATAAACCTAATAATATCATCATATATCTTTTTAGCTGCCTGCTTGTGTTACGTTTCCCTTATTCTTCTATTGTGAAGAATTGTGTAGCAAGATCTGGAAGGCGCATATTGAAACTATTCTTTTTTTGCCACCGAAATGGCACTCCATTCTGTTTTGGATTGCTTTTTGAATATGGAAAATGCATGCTGATTTAATCATTTGTTCTTGTAAGTATAAAGACATATCTGGGTTACCTAATAGGCTATATGACATGATGAAAGCTTTTCATTCATGAATACCAAAATTGCATTTATTTATTGTTTCTTTTTAAGCAACTGACAGCTTGCCACATGAGTGTCTGCATGTATTACCTTTATTTAACCAGGAAAAAAAGACTCACTGAGATTAAAATCTTACAGGAGTGTCCTAGCCAAGATAGGCAGCCAAGTTTGCATATACAAATAAACAACATAGTTACAACATACAATACAAACATATAACCAATTAAAAACAATTGCACACCCTTAACTCGCTCTCTAGATTACGTAGTAAAAACCTAAAATAATTATAAGACACCAAGTTTTGTAACTTCACCTCCTTTTGGAGATTCCAGTCTGAAGTGGCGGCATATTTAAAGGAGGTTTTACCCAGCTCAGTTCTGACAAGGGGCACACAAAGATTATAATTTCATTGAGAATGTAATGAGTAATTGCCCGACGAAATCCTTTGAATAAAACAACAGAGATAAAATGGCAAATAATCCAATGTGGCTTTATATATAAACAGATAATCAATGTATTATTGTGTTTACTGGGAAATTTTGTTTGAATACAGGATTCACAAAAGGTGTTTGAAATGAACACAAAACCACTGCTAGAGAGAATACACATTTGTAATTTGAACTTTTGAAAACCTGATAGTTACTGAGATGCAGTGTTGGGGGTAACGCATTAGGTAACGCGAGTTATGTAATCAGATTACTTTTTTCAAGTAACTAGTAAAGTAACGCATTACTTTTTAATTTACAAGAGAATATCTGAGTTACTTTTCCAAATAAGTAACGCAAGTTACTTTTTTTTTCCAATTTATTGATTGACAGCTCTCCTGTCCCCATGTTGAGAGAAATCAGATGTTACTGTAGTTCTAAAATAAATATGAATATGCATTAATTCATCTCACTCACAATAAAAAACACAGATTCAGTATTCCTCAAAATGAATAAAAATAATGCAACTCAGAATATGATACAAACCTGCCATAATTAAATGTTAAACAACACAAATATCCTTTATGTATTTAATCCCATTCTATTAACCAATGTATTTGTCACAAAAACATTTGTGTGTCTTTTTTTATTGCTGAAGTGTGTTGAAATGTCTTCTTCTGCATTCTACTGTACGGACGTAAATTGACTTTCCCTTCAGCCTGAGGCTTATTCATTTCACTTTTGTTGTAACTTTCCCCAACACTGGTTATTACAGTGTTATCAGTCTCATATATACATCTCAGCAGTGTTGGGGAAAGTTACTTTTAAAAGTAATGCGTTACAATATTGCATTATTTTTATTCATTTTGAGGAATACTGAATGTTTTTTTTTATTTCTCTCAATATGGGGACAGGAGAGCTGTCAATCAATAAATTTGAAAAAAAAGTAACTCGCGTTACTTATTTGAAAAAGTAACTCCGATATTCTCTTGTAGATTAAAAAGTAATGCGTTACTTTACTAGTTACTTGAAAAAAGTAATCTGATTACGTAACTCACGTTACTTGTAATGTGTTACCCCCAACACTGGTAATAACACATTTATACAGTCCACGACATGTCTGTGACCAGTCTTGTCCTGCCAATAAAGCACGTTGTAATTCTTCTTCTACATCTTAATAATAATAATAATAATGTTTATTTATATAGCACATTTCTACTGACTCAAAACTGAAACTATATTTCTTTAGTTATTGTATTTACAAAATACCATAAAAGCTTCTTATATTATACTGATTTGAAAAATGATATGGACACTTTTTCTAATATGGGGAAAAAACTGAAACAACAATGTAAAACTCCTAAAGCTTTTCAAATGTATGTAATTTGCCCCAATTTGTACTTAACAAAACCTCTGTATTATTGCATTACGCATTTGTTTTCTATATGCCCATTCATATCATATGCGTGCAAATACAAGTAAAGTTTAAGATAAAATCGTTCTGTCTCATTACCACTCATCACACGTCTGTTGTGGCAGACTCCTGTCGGCTGCTGGAGGAGAGACGGGCTCGTCTCAGACTGGAAGGAACTCGAGCTCCGTTGTGTTGTCCACGGCAGCCGACACACGTTATCGCTGTCGTTATTGTTTCTCAGCAGAGGGAATCGTGGATTCTAACGGGTCGTTCTGCAGGTATAGGATTTTGGAAATTCATTTCCAAGAATGTGGGAGATTAAAACTTGAATTCACCTTACTTAACCACATACGCGTTGCTGTGCATCGTAGAGTCAGATAGGCCTCGCGCTGCCGCCGAACCAGGAAGGAGAGTTGAATTGAGCCATTTGTTGTTGTTTTCACGCTGACCGCTGCACACCGGGGTCCTACCGGTTCTGAGTGCTAGCATCAAAAAGCTGTGGCCTCGCAGGAATAGTATTTCGTTTGATCACGTCAAACTAGTCAAATGCATTAGTTTTATGTCACTTTTCAAGAAGCATATGTTTTTATGCCTGGCTTTTGTTGCTGCACAATTAGCCAGCTAACGTTAGCCTGGCTGCGATTCTCGTGTATATCCACATTCTGTTGCTTTTAATTTCGAAACAATAAAGTTGTATTCAACTTTTTCAGATAGGCCTCGCGCTGCCGCCGAACCAGGAAGGAGAGTTGAATTGAGCCATTTGTTGTTGTTTTCACGCTGACCGCTGCACACCGGGGTCCTACCGGTTCTGAGTGCTAGCATCAAAAAGCTGTGGCCTCGCAGGAATAGTATTTCGTTTGATCACGTCAAACTAGTCAAATGCATTAGTTTTATGTCACTTTTCAAGAAGCATATGTTTTTATGCCTGGCTTTTGTTGCTGCACAATTAGCCAGCTAACGTTAGCCTGGCTGCGATTCTCGTGTATATGTAATGTAAAGTAATGTTTAGATCGACATAACAAATTGAGAGAAAAATATGACATGAAAATATGATTTGTCATTGATTAGACAGCTAAAATGTGCTTGTGAGAGTATATCTTGCAGAAATGAAAGCACAATGTAGAAAGCTTTGTATAGGGTTGTGTTAATTGCATTTTAACACAGTTTTTAATAGATTTGATTTGTTCTTGATATTAATATGTTCAAATTGTTAGTATATTACACTTCAATATTCCCCTTTCCCCACAGGTATGTCGAAACTAAAGCTAATATCTGCAGCAGACACTCAGTACCCAGCATCACTGTTGAGGTCCATCAATGATGAGCGACACAGCGGTTTATTCTGTGATGTCTCCATAATCGTGCAAGACCGCAAGTTCAAGGCGCACAAATGCGTGCTGTCTGCCTCCAGTACCTATTTCCATCAGCTTTTCTCAGTTGCTGGACAAGTTATAGAGCTGAACTTCATCAAGGCAGACATATTCGATGTGATCTTGAATTACATATACACGTCTAAAATCTACAGAGTTCGATCAGACAGACTTGAGGATCTCATCAGCGCCGGTCAGGCTTTGGGCGTGACGTTCATAGCCAATTTAGGAACGCCGCTCGCCCAAGTCAAAGGATTACCGGGCCTGTCCAAAGAAAGTGACAACAACAGCATCAGCTCCTCTGAGAAGAATGAGACCGGAGGTGAGAATATGCCAATCATTACTGAGACGTTCTCACTGTCTGCTGAAGAATTCAACATGGCGTGCGGTAATACGGAAAAGGAAGTGGACTCGGACAGCGATGATGTTCTTTTCGTCTCAAAAACAGAGGCTCCTCAAGCTCAGAAGACCAAGATATCAGATGTTAATGACAAAGCAGGAGGGCCAGAGGCTAAAAAACAAAAAGTCACAAATTACTTTTAAAAGTAATGCGTTACAATATTGCATTACTCCATAAAAAAGTAACTAATTACGTTACTTAGTTACTTTTTATGGAAAGTAATGCGTTACGTTACTTTTGCGTTACTTTTTAAATCTGGACAGGGCTTGCTTGTTTGTTTTTAAAAATAAAAAAGTTCTATTTTTGGCAAATATAAAAGCCTTTTCACACCAAAAGTGAAATGAATAAGCCTCAGGCTGAAGGGAAAGTCAATTTACGTCCGTACAGTAGAATGCAGAAGAAGACATTTCAACACACTTCAGCAATAAAAAAGAGACACATAAATGTTTGTCTAGAGGAATTTGTGCTTATTAGTACGGTTGAACTGGATCATCGAAGCTCAGAAGCAAAGACATTGGTTAATAGAATGGGATTAAATACATAAAGCATATTTGTGTTGTTTAACATTTAATTATGGCAGGTTTGCGTCAACTGAATATTCTGAGTTGCATTATTTTTATTCATTTTGAGGAATACTGAATGTTTTTTTTTATTTCTCTCAATATGGGGACAGGAGAGCTGTCAATCAATAAATTTGAAAAAAAAGTAACTCGCGTTACTTATTTGAAAAAGTAACTCCGATATTCTCTTGTAGATTAAAAAGTAATGCGTTACTTTACTAGTTACTTGAAAAAAGTAATCTGATTACGTAACTCACGTTACTTGTAATGTGTTACCCCCAACACTGGTAATAACACATTTATACAGTCCACGACATGTCTGTGACCAGTCTTGTCCTGCCAATAAAGCACGTTGTAATTCTTCTTCTACATCTTAATAATAATAATAATAATGTTTATTTATATAGCACATTTCTACTGACTCAAAACTGAAACTATATTTCTTTAGTTATTGTATTTACAAAATACCATAAAAGCTTCTTATATTATACTGATTTGAAAAATGATATGGACACTTTTTCTAATATGGGGAAAAAACTGAAACAACAATGTAAAACTCCTAAAGCTTTTCAAATGTATGTAATTTGCCCCAATTTGTACTTAACAAAACCTCTGTATTATTGCATTACGCATTTGTTTTCTATATGCCCATTCATATCATATGCGTGCAAATACAAGTAAAGTTTAAGATAAAATCGTTCTGTCTCATTACCACTCATCACACGTCTGTTGTGGCAGACTCCTGTCGGCTGCTGGAGGAGAGACGGGCTCGTCTCAGACTGGAAGGAACTCGAGCTCCGTTGTGTTGTCCACGGCAGCCGACACACGTTATCGCTGTCGTTATTGTTTCTCAGCAGAGGGAATCGTGGATTCTAACGGGTCGTTCTGCAGGTATAGGATTTTGGAAATTCATTTGTGGGAGATTAAAACTTGAATTCACCTTACTTAACCACATACGCGTTGCTGTGCATCGTAGAGTCAGATAGGCCTCGCGCTGCCGCCGAACCAGGAAGGAGAGTTGAATTGAGCCATTTGTTGTTGTTTTCACGCTGACCGCTGCACACCGGGGTCCTACCGGTTCTGAGTGCTAGCATCAAAAAGCTGTGGCCTCGCAGGAATAGTATTTCGTTTGATCACGTCAAACTAGTCAAATGCATTAGTTTTATGTCACTTTTCAAGAAGCATATGTTTTTATGCCTGGCTTTTGTTGCTGCACAATTAGCCAGCTAACGTTAGCCTGGCTGCGATTCTCGTGTATATCCACATTCTGTTGCTTTTAATTTCGAAACAATAAAGTTGTATTCAACTTTTAAGTAATGTTTAGATCGACATAACAAATTGAGAGAAAAATATGACATGAAAATATGATTTGTCATTGATTAGACAGCTAAAATGTGCTTGTGAGAGTATATCTTGCAGAAATGAAAGCACAATGTAGAAAGCTTTGTATAGGGTTGTGTTAATTGCATTTTAACACAGTTTTTAATAGATTTGATTTGTTCTTGATATTAATATGTTCAAATTGTTAGTATATTACACTTCAATATTCCCCTTTCCCCACAGGTATGTCGAAACTAAAGCTAATATCTGCAGCAGACACTCAGTACCCAGCATCACTGTTGAGGTCCATCAATGATGAGCGACACAGCGGTTTATTCTGTGATGTCTCCATAATCGTACAAGACCGCAAGTTCAAGGCGCACAAATGCGTGCTGTCTGCCTCCAGTACCTATTTCCATCAGCTTTTCTCAGTTGCTGGACAAGTTATAGAGCTGAACTTCATCAAGGCAGACATATTCGATGTGATCTTGAATTACATATACACGTCTAAAATCTACAGAGTTCGATCAGACAGACTTGAGGATCTCATCAGCGCCGGTCAGGCTTTGGGCGTGACGTTCATAGCCAATTTAGGAACGCCGCTCGCCCAAGTCAAAGGATTACCGGGCCTGTCCAAAGAAAGTGACAACAACAGCATCAGCTCCTCTGAGAAGAATGAGACCGGAGGTGAGAATATGCCAATCATTACTGAGACGTTCTCACTGTCTGCTGAAGAATTCAACATGGCGTGCGGTAATACGGAAAAGGAAGTGGACTCGGACAGCGATGATGTTCTTTTCGTCTCAAAAACAGAGGCTCCTCAAGCTCAGAAGACCAAGATATCAGATGTTAATGACAAAGCAGGAGGGCCAGAGGCTAAAAAACAAAAAGTCACAAACGAGGAAGGAATTGCCTCTAAGGATTCAACAGCCCAAGAGAGAAACAACCAGCTTCCTTCTGAAAGAGACACGTCACTCCAAAATAACCTTGAGCCCCAGCCAGACGTTGTGCTCCTCTCTAACCCAGAAGCCAGTAGCAGTGTTCTCACTTCTCCAGTAAGAGCGAGCTCAAACAGCGAACCCACCACCCCAGCTGACGTGAACAGCCTTCCTTCAGATCCTCACAGCACCTTGCTGCCTCTAGATAACAACGAAGTGCTCGGAGTCCATAAGAAAAAGGTCCTTCTAGAGCACTCGCCCGATCAGCCCGGAAAAATCAGACTGTCGGATGTAAGGCCGACATATAGCACCAATAACGGACCAGTACCAGCAATGAACTTGGCCCCGTCAGTGTTGGGGAAAAAGACGATAACATTAGACAAAGCCTCGGAAATCGATTCGCTATCGCCTGGTTGTAAAGTGTATGCCAACATTGGTGAAAACACCTATGACATTGTTCCAGTAAAAGAGGATCCTGTAGAGGGATCGGCTCCTGGTAGGAAATCGCAAATCCCACACAGTGTACCCAGTGTGACCATACACTCACCTCAAGGAAAGAAAAATTCAAAGCTGGAGCAGGAGGATCACTATGAACTTATCATGGATGGAAAGACATTTTACGTGTGCATTGTGTGCAAGCGTCCCTATGTGTGCCTGACGAGCCTCAGGCGGCACTTTAACACTCACTCGTGGGAACGGAAGTATCCGTGCCATTACTGCAGCAAGGTTTTTGCCCTGGCCGAGTACAGAACCAAACATGAAATCACTCACACGGGCGAAAGACGGTACCAGTGTTTACTGTGCAATGAAACCTTTCTCAATTATCAGATTTTGTCCACCCACTGCAAGCAAGCGCACAACCAAGACCCGTCGGGAAGGAAAGAGAAAGATGACTCGTGCAACAACTTGTATCGGCTGCTGCCGTGTAAAACGTTGCAGTTCAAACCGTATTCCTTCGTGTCCGAAGAGCCGGGAGGGATTCCGGTGATTGGTGAAGATGGGACTGTCCAACATGTAAATCCAGACAAAGAGCACTTTACCAACCAGCCACTTCCAGCTAGCCAAAGCAAAGCACTGACCTGGGACGACATCTTTGTAGAATCTGAAGCACAAAACAGACCGGCGGCTCACGTTCGACCGGGTTCACCTCCACGGCCTGTCGACCAAATAAATGCCGAAACCAGGAATGAATTTGAGTTTGTTATACCAGAGACATACTGAGCATGCTTGTGCACTGCTCTGGCTCAGGTGCCTTGTTCATTTGTTTGTGTTTTAATTTGAGGAGCGGGTGGTCGTGGTTCTCTGGACCATTTGATTGAAAAATCAACTTCAGTATTCATCAACTCATGAAAGTTGTTTTAAGGTGCTTTAATGTATATTTAGAAAATGTATTAGTGTTGGTTTACAGTTCAGTTTCACAGTCATTACTGAATTGTAATAATGCTTCGTCAGATAATATGACTAAGTAGATAATACATATTTTATGTACAGCTACATTAGACCTGTGTAGAGCTGATCCTTAATATTTTCTATTCCCGTTTATATTCGAATTTGTGACATGATTGTGTGCTTGACATAATGCAGAAGAAACACCACAAATTATAGGTTAGATCACAGATCCTAATGAAGCACTCGGAACAAAAAGTAAGATTCAGCCTAAATATATGTACAGTTCTTTGCCATCTAGCTGCCCGAAACAGTTAAAAATAACTCAAGTAATTATCTAGAACTGTGTGAATACAGTCAATTCTGAAGACAATAAAGTGCAAATCAATTGCTAGATAAGAGACTCGTCCTCGTGCAGAGAGAGCAGAGGCAACGCAAAACACTTTGTGCCACTTTGGAAGGGAGAAGTTCACATTATGGAGTTATGCAGAGGAATCTCAAGTGGGAGACCCACAGACGTTACCTATAACAGGAAAAGGAGGCGAGCCAGGTGGAGCTGTACTGGAAGCGGACACATTTTAAGGCATATCTGTGAACAGTCTTGATCTCACAGTCAGGCTAGTTATTAGGTATAGTCCTCTTGGATTGAGGCTACATAATGTGAATATTTTACACATCGGGTTTGACTTGAGAGAATCTTGTCAAGGTTTAATGTTGCATATTACATCTGCTGAAAGGTGATGAGTGACTGTGGTTAATGCTGTAGTCTCTCTATGCTTAACCCGCCGCACAGGTGAGCCTCCTCTGCAAAGGTTGTTAATTCAGAACGACGATTGTTCACTGATGTGGTTTACTTATATACAAAAATGCCAACGCCAGTTCTCTCTTGACAGGAAAATATCTTCCTCAGACTGGTCCCTTAGGGGCTGTATGGCGGGGGCTTCTCATCAGGTGGGTAATAAGGAGGAGAATAACGAGGCGGGATCATATTTGGCCACATGAGACTGGCTCCAGACTGGGAGTCATCAGACAGGCCTGAAGCGTCAGGAAACATGCTGGCAGCCTGTGAAGACACATTACCACACATATCATACACCATCAAAACATATAAGTATAATCTCTAATGCTCTAATTTAGGGTTATTCTTTTGAACTAAAACTAAAACCATACAATTTAAAAAAAAAGCATAAACTTATTAAACTTACAAGGCAAAATTCCTCGTTTAGACACGCCCCCACATGTGTACATCACTGTGTGGGAAGATTTGCATAACGCCGCCCAAATGTTCACACAAAAAAGAAGGCGTAACTGATTCTCGCTGTAGTATTGTTGTTGCCGCCGCCGCCATGTCGTGGAGACGCTGTGTGTTTCGTTGTGAAAGTGAAACTACTTTGTTTGCTCTTCCAAAAGAGGAATTTTACGGAGGACGAGGACTGTTTCCTGGGAGAGTAGCCTACAATGCCAGTGTTCTGGTGAATTCAGTTCCCCTGTTTCCCCTTCGGCGCACATGCTGACCCTATACAGTCTATGATGCTGACAAATAATGCTGACTCACAGCCTTTAAGTACATTTTCATATTTAAAGGATTTGTTACTGATGATTCAAACGCGAGTTTTGAGCAGTGTTGAGTAGCGCTTGTAGTTTGACATTTCTCCAAACACAAATGCAGACATGGTTTTATGTTTACACGGCGCGATGCAACGCAACGCATAAAAAGACAGTATAAGTAATTATAATCCGTAATTATGTCCCCACTGGATGCAACAAATGCCTCGTTTATAATGGGTTTAATTGGTTTTGTCTCGTTGCTCTGGGACACGGCATCACAATATGGTAAGGAGCGTAACATTTCCGTCACACGCTTGAGGTATTCAGCCAATCACAACGCACTGGATAGCTGGCCAATCAGAGCACACCTCGCATTTTCAGACCGAAACGCATTTCAAAATCGATGCGTTTCAGAAAGACGGGGCATAGAGGAGAAACAATAATGTACATTATGTGGAAAATAATGTGTTTTTTTAACCTTAAACCGCATAAACACATTTCATTACACCGAATACACAAAATAATGTTCTTTTTTAGCAACGTCATATGACCCCTTTAACATTAATTGAAAGATGTAATAATGATCTTTTTGTGCTTACTTCTTACTTGCATGCATTTTTACAAATAATTGATTGCATTAAGCTAACGTTAATTGACATAATTAAAAAAAAAGAAATTAATAGAAATATACAATATAAATATATTACTATATCATAGCATAGTAATAATAATTCTATATGTACATTTCATATATTTGTATATATATATATTTTACAACATAAAAAGTGTATGCATGTTATATTATATTATACAGTTAGTATTTTTATAGTCTTGCATTGCCAGACCTTCTGACTTGACGGCAGAAGGTCTGGGAACCTTGGTCGCTTTGAATGGCTAAAGGCCCACCCAAGCCATATGACTGACAGGTAAAACAACCAATCACGTTTCGGTTTGTGCCACGTCATGTTTAGGGGCGTGGAAATGTCCCCACAATAACATGCCGTGTGTAAAACTCTTGGACGTATTTTAAAGATTCTATGCCGTGAACTTTAAATATTTCACATACTTTTACAAATCCAGCGTTTAGTTGATCCTGATAAGCGCTCATTATCACAGTTGTAAACACGACGGCTTTCTTCCAACATGAGGAGGGGCTTTAGCGTCACGGCATATTTGTTTCCAGGCGGAACGTTAAAGAACGCGACACGCACGTCTCCCGGAAATCTTGTATAATTCAACCAATCCGATGACGACTTTCAAAACTCCCCAAGTGTTTCCAATTTTGTGTGCCGTATGCATCAGACATTCAGCCAACGGTCTGTGGGAGTGACGTCTGAGGCTGAGACTAGTATTTTTATCTCATCGAACAAGCATTGTAGAAAAAGTCTGTATCAGCGTGACTTATAAATGCCCACTAAAGCATGCAACACAAAGTGGGTTGACAGCTCAAAGTGAATGCGATTACCCGAAGGTCATAGGCAGTGTATGGAGGTAAGCAGGGGTCAGTGTTGTAAAAAGTGTTGTTGGATGTTGTGGGTCCAGGAGTCTCTTGGGGTGGAGGAACAGGGAGAGGTTCTGGCTCACAGGAATCTGGTGCTGCTGTAGGCATCTTAATAAAAAGATCCAATAAATGTCACAGGTTCTCAGAATTAAAAATACATCTATATAAGTTGTTTGCACTGCATTTAAATCTCACCATGTCCTTGAAGCCCCCCAGCACCGCGGCGGTGATGATGCCCAGAAACAGAGCAACAATGTTGAGGATAGTAGCAGACCACAGCAGGTGGTAAAGATGCACAACGTCCTGACAGCTCCGCACCTCTGTGTACTCATGGTACCCTCCTCGCAGTTCCACTCGACTGAGATCATGAGGAGAGAAATGTATTATTGCAAGAGACTCATAAAAAAATAAGACATATAGGTGACAGGCAGAGCAACAAAAGAGGTAAAGCATGACCAGACCAGCGATTCATGCAAAAGAAAAGAACAAAACCATCTGCGTGCATACCAGTGCACATCACTCTTAAGAAGAGCATGAAATGGATAAATATATCCAGTCTCCTTATTTAAGCTCACGGTCATCAAAGACTCTTTACTTTTAACCTAAATTATTGCTGTCACTCCTCACCTGTGAAACAGGAACCAGAGAATCTTAGTTCCTTTCACTTCATGATCAAAGTAACTGTACGTAAAGTACAGTGACTGTACACAGCCACACTCAAGATTTTAACAACAACAAATAATGGGCTGTCAATGTCATTGAGGGGCTAAAAGTGGAAAGACCTACTTCCAAACCATGGAGGATTTCCTAAATTTTTTCAAAACATCTTTATTCTGAAGTCCCATAAGAGGATGCTCTCTGAAACATAAATAAACACAAAGTTCTTTCGAACAGAGCTGAATTTCAGGGATAGAAGCACACACCATACAAGCAAATATAAACCAGAACTTAACCAAGGTAAAACAAAGATAGCATAGTTGTTGTTGTTTTTCTCTCTCAGATTGCCAGTTTGCAGAGGGTATCCTAGGAGGGATGTATCCAAATGGGACTCGCTCACACACTTACTTGCCACAGTTGTAAAGGTCACAGCAGTAGCAGGTGTTGCTCTTCACGCGCAGGTTACAGGAGACCCGAGATGCGGTTTGACAGTGGACCTGAAAGACAGATGTGTTTTGATATACTAGTAACAAAGCCCTTAAATTCAGAGGCTTGTAATTTGGCAAGAGCGCTTCTCTGACGACTCACATCTAAATCAAACGCGGTCCCACTGGAGTAATATTCACATCGGCCAGCATATAGTGGTCTGAGGTCCTTTGAAACAACAACAGCAGTATGCCATGACAGAGCTTTAACTGCAATGATTTTCTGAGGAAATGCATTTTACAATAACATGGTGTGGAGGCACTTACTATATGTCTTGCAGCAAAAACGCCATCCACTATAGCACAACAGAAGGCCGCCACCACACCGAAGCTGATGAAGACAATGGAGGCCACCAGCTGTAAGCAGAACAGCAATGTCAGCATATTCACCTGCTGTAGTAGCTCTATGCACGTGCATTTACACCTGGGCACTACTACTATGTATGATTCCTATAGAGACAGATTGAAGTGGTTTGTCTAAGATCTTGTAGATGTGTCTATTATGGGATATGGAGATAATCTGGACTGAATGGATTCTGCCTTATTGCCACTTAAATTCGCTGATTTCCCTGCCATTTCACAACCAACCATTTAGATACCAGTCACTCCATTCTGTCTGCAATCAAAGGCACTTTACAGAGGCATGTCAAGTGGGAAAATAGAATACATTTAACTGCCCAAATCTGATTAATAAATAATAGAATTTTGAGTGTTATTCTTGATATATCTAATCTAAATCAATCCATATCTTATAAGAGACCAGTGAAAAAGCTTCTGTTTTGCATTTTTCTAATTTAATAACAAATTATATCTTATGTATTTTAATATTTTTATTATAAATAATACAATATAATATTAATACCCTACTGTTCAAATGTTTGGGGCCAAAAATATTTCTAAGATCATTTTTGAAAGAAGTTATTACTGTTATTCAGCAAGGATGCATTCAATTGATCAAAAATAATAGTAAAGACATTTATAACGTTATAAAAGGATTCTGGAAAAAAGAATCGCAGTTTACACAACACTTTTTTCAACATTGATAATAATACAAAATGTTTTAAGCACCAAAACAGAATATTGGAATTATTTCTGAAAGATCATGTGACACTAAAGACTGAATGACGCTGAAAATTGTAATGATATTTCACAATATTACTGTATTTTAGATCAAATAAATGCGTGCTTGGTGAGCATAAAATGCTTATTTCAAAAACATCTTACCGACTCCAAACTTTTGAATGGTAGTGTATATAATATTTAAATACTGTAATAATACTTTAATTATATTTTAGATTTAATTTATTAAAATAAAAAATATATATGTATATTTGATTTATATTTATCTTATAAATAAAATTATTATAAATATATTATTATATATAATATTTATATTTTATGTTTCAAATTATTTCTATTTAATGTATACAACTTATGTTATTGGTGTAACAATGAGTAAAAATGATTTTTAAAATGATCATACATTTCAGAATGTCTTCATATTTGGTTTGTCTCCAGTTTGCCATAATGACAGCAGCGCTGAAGCTGCATGAACTGAGTGAAACCTGATGATCATGTTCTCCAGCAAGCATGATTTGAAAATTATCCAAAGAGCATCTTGTGCTTCACTGGAAACAAGAACATCTGACCATCTGTACAAAAGGATTTGACATGCTCAATTCTACAAATTTGCTTATTTGATTAGAGACCTAGAAATAGTGCAAAAGCATCATAACACTTTGTTTCTTGTTTTACATTATTCAAAAAATAACCATTACTTATTTCCAGTTTTTTTCAGATTTATACAATCTCAGCCTTGCAGACACCACTCTACATGCTTTAACCACTTCGACTCCAAGGGTGGAGTGTGTATCCTGCACTCTCCCAGCAGTAACTGTCCCTGTGTGTCTATGATCTGGCCAGCTATGCTGTCCTCATGCATTCTTTATTTGGATTGTGGCACCTCCTATTCCCTCTGCACTACAATGGCTTCTGAAAATTCCTGCCTGGACATCCATCCCGCTCCCCTTACACTGAGCTATTTCTGGGTGCATCTCACCACAGGGGCTGCAACATGCCCTGCTATTTGAGCTCAAACCTGTGAGCCATTTCTGCCATTATGACATGACTAAAAACAGGCGGTTGATTCTTGAAAATGTGTTTGTTTGTGCGAGTATTTGGTTAGAAATGTCTATTGGATAATGGAATGCACAAGCACAGAATCCGATATGAGCAGTGTGATAAAAGACCCCTTACCATCTGCCTCTTATTCTCTATCAAATGGGCGCCAATGATTCCCAGAAAGGACCCGAAGCCGAGCTGAAAATATCACAGGGTGAAACTCATGATAGTTGCAAATATCAACCTATTTCAAAGTCTTAAACTTAAGATCCAAACATACAATCTCTCATTCCCACAAAGCCTTTGTCTTTCTCCAAGCAGTATAGTTTATTTTATGGTGTGATCAACATCCGAGTTAAGAGCTACAGTATATATGAAATCTGGCCATGTCCCCACCATATAGTATTTCAAAACAGTCGATCCTCGCAGAATACTAGGAAAACACCTGTTACTTGTACAAAACGTTCTGGACTGTTACTTAAGCTTGTATGTTTCTAGAGTGTTGAACAAAATGATACCTGCTGTTGAATAATGAATGGATGAGTTCACTCAGTTCAACCTTACAGTAATGAGGTAATGACCAACGGTCACCATAATGGTGGGCCAAGCAGAAAATAATTAAAAGTGAGGCTTTTCCTTCCCCGCAGTACTTTACATCACAAACCCATTTATAGACAAAGAGGATGGTTCGCAGTCTGTTCTACGCACGACTATGAACATTAGTAGCACACTTACAATGACTCCTGGATAGTAGCCACCGACAGTGATGTTCTGCGTCCTGGTAGTAGCGGCCAGACCAAAGACCAGGATGAGTATGGAGACGATAAGGAGCATCACTGTTACTATGATGGACTTTCTTTTCCTCCTCTTAAATGATCCTGGAAAAGACAGTGGAGTAGGAAGATGCCACGGCACAACACACCCTTCCTTCCTTGGTTACTCGTGCTTTCATTTTAGGCTAATGCGTTCGTTTTGGGATAAAGCAAAGCAAAGCATAACAACCAGTGTATTTGTCCTCTTGTATGTCTATAGTGTCTACAACTGCAAAGGCAAAGGCACAGCCACAACCCAGAAACCCAGATAAATGTAGGTGATGTAATATGATGGGTTTCCATCACTAAACAAAAAATATTTTGACTGTGCAATAAAATTTCACTTACGGTTGTGTATTTTTATTAACAATATCAATCAGTGTTACATCGACATTCGTTGGGGACATCTGAGACATGCAGGAATGTAGGTTACGGGAAGCTTATTTCTCTCTCGGGCTAGTATCTTCTAAAAATCGCGATGAATAAACGTTGCTAATCGCATTTAAACGTAAATACAAGCGTAAATTGTCCTCGGTGTGACCATAATGGTCTGCGGGCGCAGTGAATGCCGTTGACCTTGTAACGTTACTTACCCATCGCATCTGAGATTGGTATACCGCTGCCTTGCGCATTCAGCCCCGCTGGCATTGCAACGTCAGGATATGCAGCATTAGCTGCAGGTATGACTTCAAGTCAAAAACAAAGAGCCTAGTCAATAAGACAAAGATGCCTTTCCTTAGAGTTAAAGAATGGAAACTCCTTTCCTGCCGTGGCATTCTCTGACACCATGCGTCCCCCGTGTAGCTGCGCTTCTCTCATCAGCATCTGAGTCTGTTGTTCATGAATCCGCTGCCCTCATCCCTTCATCCCTTCAGCAGAACGCCGCACGGAGCACAGCACTGCGCATGCGCAAGGCAGAACCGCTCGCTGTTTGAGTGGGTCAGGAGCAGTAGTGATCAGAAGAGAGAGTCATTTCGATTCGGTTCTTTCGAGCAGTCCATTTCAGAAGCAACCTGTGCACACATTTATTTTATTTTATTTTTTATTACAAAACTTGAAGAAACATACAGAAACAGGGAAGCGAGCCATGAATAAATTCCAACAAAAAGCAATTATAAAAATAAAAACAGAAAACAAATATTCTGTATTTGCATGTCAAATTAATTATTATCGATACATAAAAGTGCAAAAATAAACTTACATTCTTTTAGAAAAGTTGTCATAATACATCAAAAGTTTGGCACTCTTTTTGTTATTAGTAAGTCTAAGAGAACCTGTTTTTTAATTTATTTTTTTATTTTTTTATTATGCAATAGAAGAACAACAAATACAATTACAAAGACAAGTAAGAACAAAATACAATAAGAGTTACAAACAATACTCCAAAGCACTATGTTAGCTTATAATATTTACACCATGAAAGAGTCTTACATGCAATAGAATTATTAGTTTCTTAAAGAGTTTACATATACATCAAAACCTTTCCTGAAAATAAAAAAGTAGGGAGTTTTCTTTGAAAATGTACACTTATTAATGTAAAATTTAGCAAGATATAGCAATAGATTAATAATAAATTTACACTGAGAAAGATCTAAAATTTTTGGGGTTATACAAAAGTTTGGATATAAATATTTTTTAAATAAAATTGGAAAAGTCAACCCAGAACACTTTAGAATAAGCACAGTCCCAAAATAAATGATTGATTGTTTCTTCAGACTGAAGGCAAAAGGAGCAATTGGGGAAAATACTATTGTTAAATTTAGCAAGTTTGTAATTTACCGGATAACAAT